AAAGAAAGAAAGAAAGAAAGAAAGAAAGAAAGAAGAAAAGAAAAGAAAAGAGAAGAAAAGAAAAGGAGGACAGAGGCAGTGGGAAGGGGGACATAGGGAGAGAGATGGGGGCAGGGAGGGGAGGGGAGGGGGTCTACCATCAGGCCTTGAGGAAGGATCAGCTCTCTCGGGAGGACTGTGGACACATCTCCTGCCCCTGGGTCTCAGTCCTGCCTCCCACAGCATGGGAGGTTTGCAGGCAGCCACTTACTGGAGGAGGCAGGAGAGCCAGAGCCGCCCCAGCCTGCTCCCAGCCAAGAACACCAGCCTGGCTTCCTGTCTTGGCTTCAAAGACGAGCCCATTAACAATGAATGAGCCCCTGGGGGCCGAGGTGAGGAGGGGGAGAGGGAGGCTGGGTGTGTCCTGGGACCCATATTCCAGCTCCTTTTAAAGTCCCCTCCGACTCCCCAGCCAAGACTTGGGTAAGCGCCGTGACAAGCAGTAGAGAACTGTCCACCAGGGGGCGCTCACAGCATTTCTTTGTTTCTCTCCAAATGAGGTCTGCAGTGTTTGGGCTCTTGAAGGACAAATGGGCCCAAGGCTCCCTGTCACTCATTTCGCAGCTGACTTCACTTCCTCTGGATGGGGGCATCTCACTCGGACACGAATGGGGCTGTGCAGCGTGCTCTCGTCTGGGGAGGAGGCATGGTGCCAGGTCTCTCCTCCCAGCACTGCTGGTGCTGGTGTACCTACAGAACCTCGCAAGGCAGCCCTCCAGCCGACCTGCCCAGGTCTCCCTGTCATTCAGCTCCGCCCACAAGGAGCATCGGCAAGTTGACCCAGCCACATGCACACTTCTCTAAACAGGGTTTTAACTTACCCTGTAGCGAGACTGGGCTCAGCCCAGAAGTTCTCCAAGTCCAGGACCTCTTAGAGGAGTGAAGACCCATCCGCCCAGCACAGGAAAGCGGACAGAGGCCCCAAGTGCCACTGCCCAGGGGAATCCAGAAGACTAGAGAACCAGAACGCCCACTGTTTGTCTGGTTTGGCTGTGATCTAGAGCTGAGCTGGTCAGCCCCCTCTAGCAGAAGACACGGCTGCTCAGGGAAGTGGAGGAACTAGGCTGGAGCCGCACCCTTAGAGGATGGAGCAGGGAGTCCACTCCAAACAGGCCCGCCCCCTGCCCAGCTCATCCACACGGCTCGACTGCCCCCCACCCCCCGTGCCTGTTTTGAGAGATGGGACCTTGGCCACTGGCACATGTCCAGCACCCAGTGTACTACATGCCCATATAGGAGCTCAAGGGCTATTTACTTAAAGAATAAGAAATCTTCAGAGGGCGTATCATACCTATTTCAGAATTGGATATCTACAAGGGGAAGGCCTCATCCACTAGCCATTTCAGGGATATTACTGAGGAGTTACATGGTAGAGTTTTTAAAAGCAAGCAAGTGGAAAACCAGCAAGGTCCTTGTCAGCGACCTCAGTTGACCGTGCCTTGGAGGAGCCTGGCTGTTCAGACCTGGACACCAAGGCCCTCTCCACCGGGGCCAGCTCATCTACTGCAGTGATGGGCCTGGTACAAAGCAGGCTCTGCAAGCTGGGGCCACCAAGGCAAACGGAAAAGGCTGGGGACCACCCCACCCCTGGAGGTGGGTTCACGTGGCTCAAACCTCATTCTGAGTTTCCTAGCATGCGGACACAGGCCAAGTGTGCCTTGAGCCAAGGGCCCCGGCTTGACTGGAGGCAGGAAGCAAAGTGAAGTGGGAGAGAGAAAGGGCGGCCCCAGGGAGAAAACAGTCCCACAGGCATGGGGAGAGGCAGCCTGAGGCGCTGCAGGGGCCCTGGCCCAGCGTCTGTTTTATCCCCTCTGCCCCCAACTCCCATGGGACTCCGGGCTAGTCGCTGAACATCTCAGGGCTTCAGGACCACTGACTCCGGAATGAGTAGGGTCAGGTCGTCTCCATGATCCCTTCTGCTTTGACAGCCCCCAGTTTGGGAAGCACTGGTCTGAATGGAAGCCAGCCAGGGCCTGGGAGTCTGCAGCCGATCCCCGACACCCCGCATTGCACCCATGGGTGGGGTGGTGACTGGGGTACTCACAAATAGCAGCAGACACTTGTTCTCACGGACGGCCCCGCAGCAGCCCAGGAAGCCGAGCAGAAAGAGCAGGCCCCCCATGGCCAGGAGGATGTAGGCGCCCGTGAGGAGCAGGGGGTTGGCAGCCACGATCTCCCGGAAGCCGGTGGGGTCCACCATGACCCAGATGCCGATCGCCAGCAGGCAGGCCCCGCCCAGCTGCTCCGGCCAGTGGAGGAGTGGGGAGGAGAAACAGCCAGAAAGGGAGGTTAGGCACTCCTGACCCAGCACTCCCCGAGCCAGCCCCAGGGTCGGAGGCATCAAGCACTAGGTGAGCTGGGCAGGAATTCATCTGCAGTGAGAGCCGGTAGGTCCCAGCTGCGCCTTGAATTGTCATGAATATTTCTAATTGCCATGATCTTAAGTGCAAGACACATCCTCTACATCCAATTTCTGACCCAGGCCCCACCCTGGGCTACTGAAAAAAAACACGCATCATATACAGGTTATTTTATCTTCTCCTGAAATGTCAGACCTGTGGATGAGGAGGCCATCTAACCCAACCCTCTGATTCCACACAGAGGGGGCCAGCAACTTGCTGAAGGTCACATAGCAAGTTCATGGCAGAGTCAGGGCTCCATCCCAGGTCCTTAAACAAAGGATCATGAACATGCCCTGAGTGAGTCCTATGCTGTGTTCGCACCACCCATGCTAGGGGCTGGGAAAACACAGGCCAAGTCATCGTCACTGCATGGGATTCTCAGTGAGGTTCCAACCTGAGAGTGGGCTCCCCACTCTCCAATCAATGGCTCAAAAGCCTTCAGATTTATGTCTCCATCAACATGGGTTCTCCATGCCTTATTTATCTTTGGAAAGAGGCAGTGTAGTCTAGAGAGAGAAAGCTGTGCCATTTATTAGCTGTGTGACCTAAGGCAAGTGGCATAACCTCTCTGAGCCTTTTAGCTTCCTTGTCGTCAAAGACTCAAATACTCACAGGCTAAGGCAGTCCCAGGGAAGAAAGGACAGAAGGCATTTAGCAGATTTCAATAAATATCTGTTCCATTTTTCTTTTCTTTTTACTCAGAGTTTTGCTCTGTCACCCAGGCTGGAGTGCAGTGGTGGGATCATGGCTTACTGCAGCCTTGACCTCCTGGGCTCAAGTCATCCTCCCACTTCAGCCTCCCAAGTAACTGGGACCACAGGCACATGCCACCACGCCTCGATAATTTGTGTATTTTTCTGTAGAGACTGAGTTTTTCCATGTTGCCCAGGCTGGTCTCAAACTTGTGGGCTCAAGTGATCCACCTGCCTTGACCTCCCAAACTGTTGGGATTACAGGTGGGAGCCACGGCACCCCGCCTATTCCATTTTTCTTAGGCACGGGTAAGTATTAGAAGCAGACCTGTTGTGGGAAGAACCAAAGTTTGGCACCGTGGGATTTAGGGCTGTAAAGTATCTGAAATCCCTTTGTGTGGCAGGAGGACCGGAGGCCCCCAGAGGCCTGGGTGAGGGCTGACAGTGGGGCGACAGGAAAACTGCTGGGCTTTGGCTTGGCTGAGCAGGACTGCGTGCTGAAGAGAGCTGATGGCTTTGGGCAAGGAGCATTTGTAGGTGTCCTTAGGGCAGGAGTCCAGTGGCGAGGCCTGAGGGACCCAGCAGGGGAAAGAGCAGGAAAGGCCGAACTGGAGTGGCCAGCGACAGAGTTTCCGTTCCTGCCACCTGCCGTGCCGGGTCTCTCCCTGGTCTCCCAGAATGACTCCCAGGAAAACCTGCACCTCCTTATTGCTGCTGGAGATCTTGGGATTCCACAACTGTACGCTAAACGCTTCATGGATGGCCCAGCTCCATTTCGGGTGGGAAGGGAGGGGCTGGAGGGAGGGTAAGTTTGTGCGGGGTCACCCGGCTTGGCAGGTGGTGGCCTTGGGTCTAGAATTCAAGTCTGCAAGGCTCGAGGCATTTTAGGATTATAAGGCAGGGAAGAGAAGCTAAGGGAGTTGCTGAAATGTGTATTTTTTAAAAAGACACAAAGGTATAGAGATAGAGATAGGCAGAGAGGGAAAGACGGACAAACAGAAATAGACGGTCAGTCCTGGCCAGAAAGAGGACTCCCTCTTTCAAGAGCCTGCCCTGAAGGATGCAAGTAGAGCCTGATTCACCCAGGTCTTAGATGTACCAAGATCAAGGGCTGAGGCCGGACCAGGAAAGCCTGTGGGGGCCCAAGAAGCTGGGGCCATGGCTCCACTCCTGGGAGGGGCCACAAGTCTGAGCAGAGCCTGGGGTGGGCTCAGCAGGCGGGTGGGCCACCTGAGTGTCCGGGCCTCTGTCCCTTCGTATACAGAATCCGCAGGTCAGATGGAAATGGGGCCAAGCTCTGGAGGACGGGCTACATCCTGGTCACTTTGTAAACTAATCTTACTTAATTTTCAAAGAGCCTGTTGAGGTAGGTCATTAAGAGGTGAAGATACTGAGGTTCAGAAAGGTGAACTGTTTCTCAAATCAGAAGCTGCTAAGATGTAGCACCGGGGTTTGAATGCAGGTCTTCCAGGCCCAGAGGAGTTTCTGACTAGATCCGGCGGCTGCATAGACTTGGCCCCTCCAGCTCTGAAGTCCATCTACTGCTCACGGAGACAAGGTTGGGTGGGGCTCCCTCTTGTTGCCCTCCGATCAACCCCATCCCCTCCTTTCCCACTCCCCACGAGGGGTCAGATCCCAAGACAGTGGCTGGGCCAAGGTCCCCTCCACCTTTGTCAGAGGGTCTGACCACCCCACAGCCTGTGTAAAATGTCTCTCCTAAGAAGGTGGGCTCTCCAGAGTGGGGTGGGCACTGCTGGGGGCTCCCTTCCCTGAAAGCCTGGCTGGCAGGTACCTCTCCCTCTAGCGCTGGCCTCTGTGCTCACCCCAGGAGCTCGGCCCAGTGTGACTATCTCAAAGCAGCAGCCAGTTCTGCCCACCCAGCAGAGGTCTGGGAAGACCCAGCAATACTTACAAATATGAAGAAATTGAAAACAAACATCAGATACTTCATGCAGCTCAGACAGTCGCCTTCCATGATGTTCCACCTAAAAACACAAGGCCACCTCAGTCCTCCCGATGGGGGACCCCACCCAAGAAGAACCCCAGCCCTCCCTAGAGGGTGCCCGCAGCCAGCCCCACCCTTGCAAAGGCTGGAAAAAGATGGAGGCCGATCGTGGAGATGAGAGCACTGGAGCTGGCCCATCTGGGTTTCAGCTCTGGTTCCAGCTTTCATTCGCTGTGTGATCTTGGGCAAATTACTCCACCTCTCTGGGTGTTGCTCTCTCCAACTTTAAAGAGAAGATTAAGAAGATTATACTTCACCTAAAAGTATACCCACGGCAGCAAGTCATTGAACATGATTCCATTCAGCCAATGACGATTGAGCACCTGCGGCTTGCCAGGCATGGCCGGGGCTGGACAGAAATGCAAACGTCCCCATCCCCCAGGGGAGGCTGACAGCATCTGCCACCATGAGTCAGATTTCAAGGTACACAAGACATGTTTACATTCCATATTCATTATTTTCACGTTTTCTTCCTAACAGCTCTGGGGAGAGACTCGGGGCAGGGATGAGAGAGCCATGTGACAGGTGGGGAAACTGAGACTATGAATGAAAGCGACATGTCCAGTGTCCCACAGCTAGGAAGGGGCAGGGCCAGAACGCAAGCCAGTCCTGAGCTGCCAGCACTGCAGGTGCTTTGCTGGGGCCGGGGTTGTCCCTCCATGACAGGACTCGGCGCAAAGCGTTCTGGGAGTACGAATTGGGGTGTGGACGGATGTGGGGGAGATGGTGTCTGGTTACTTTCTGCAGCTCCCACTTTCTCCCACAGGACATGGCTGGACTCCATCTTCCTCCACAAGATAAGGTTGCTAAGTCTTATTCAAAGGGTTTCTGGGAGGCTTATTATTATTAATATTAATAATAGTAAAATGTGTAGCAAAACATCACATTAGACCCCATAAACATATAAAATCATTATTCATCAATTTATAACAAAGTTGGGGAAATAGTAATAATCGTAGCCACTGTTTGGGGATCGAGCGCTGTGTCCAGGGCTTTGCACATATTATCTCATTTAATCCTTGCAACCACCAAGGAGGTATGTACTCTGATTACACAAATCCTTCCATCAGCCCAGCCCTCAGAGAGGTTAAGGGATTTGTCCAATGCCACACAGCTTGTAGAAAGCAGTGACAAGGCCCATGGCACATAATGGGTCTCAGCAACTCTGTCCCCTCCCCACCCCAAACCACAATCCAACACTCTCCTCAGCAGCCAGGCTGGCACCCTCATATCATAAGGAACAGACGGAGCAGAGAGTGCCTGGCTCTCACCTGCCCGGCCGCCCCACCCCTCTCCTAATGGGTGATGACAGCACCACCCCAGGCTGCATTTTGGTCTGAGATAGAGTTTTTCTGTAGGTGCATTTGAATCCATGGAGAGAGGAGCACAGACAGAGCCAGCTGGTGGGGAGGGGACCGGGAAAGATTCCTGGTCTCAGGAGTGGCGCCTCGCATCCCTCCTCTCATTGTTTCTGCCAAGGTGCCAGGTGTCTGTCCACCAGCTGACCTTGGCCAGGCAGACATGGCTAAGGCGCCTGGAGCTCGTGAGGAAGGACTGCCAGGCACATTGGCTTTGGATTCAGCACTGGCCCTGGGGCCAGAGGACCGTCCTCCTCCCTAAAGGGATGCCTCCTCCTGCTGTTCCACTGGCCCTTATTGCCAACTTGGAAAAGTGCTGAGCAGGGGAAGAACAGGTGGGGCCACTCAGCATCAAAGCCGGGACGGGAAGACACTCAGAGCCCACCTGGGACATCCTCCTTCTTACCAGGAGGGAGAAACTGAGGCACCAAGTTAGCTGGTGAGGAACGCAAGGCCATCCAAATGGAAAAATCTTAGGGTGAACCTGACTCAGGGGCTCCAGGCTCCAAGCCTTTGTCCTTCCAACAGTGCCCCAAGGGCTTCTCTTCAATTGTGCTGGGGGAAGGAAAAATCAGGGTTTTCCTGTGGTCACCCACCCAAGTCTCCACCCCTACAAATAATACTATTTATTGAGCATTTACTATGTGCTGGCTCTGTCCTAATACTTTACATTTACTAACTCATAACAACCCATGAGATTAGTACTCTTATTATCCTCATTTTCTGGAGGTGGAAACTGGGTCAGATGGAGGTGAGGTGACTTGTCTGAGGTCATAGCTAGTGAGTGGTGAAGCCAAAACTGGAACCCAGGCAGTGTGATGGGGCGTTTTTCTTTACTTCAGTAAGCATGGCCTGAATTCATGACATGCCATCTGCCTTTGGAGGTAGAATCGGATGACACCATCCTCTATCCAGGGGTCTCTGAAACTTCTCCAGCCGCAGCCCTGCTCCTGGCCTTCTCTCCCATCCAGACACGGCCACCGCCTCTGGGCTGAGACTGGCGTCCCTACCTCCCCTTCAGTCAAGTGGTTCCCTGCTGCCAGAAGGATCTTTCCACAAAGTACATGTCGCCACAGCACTTTCTTGCTGAAAACCCGACAGCTACAGGAGACCAAGCTGCCTCCTCCAGACCACAGAACCTCAAGGCTCCCCATGGCCACCTCTTGTTACTCCTGCCCTCACTTTCCAATCACCGCCCTCAAAGCAGAGTCCCCAGAGGTACCTCCCTGAGGCTTGCTTGCTGCCTCTGCTCATGCTGATCCCTTCTCTTTCGATTGCCCTTCCACCTACTTCCAGTCTCACTTAATTCTTATTCATCCTTTAAGACTCGTCACAGGCATCATCTCTTCCAGGAAGCCTTCTCGATTGCCCCCTCCTGTCCCCATCGAGCCAAGCTCAGGGCCTTCCCTAGTATAATATCCCATGGCCTCTGCTGATGTCCACTGCTGCCCCCACCAAAATATATAACATTACGTCACCAACCAGTGTTCCCGGTGAATCCCAGAGGAGCAGAACTGTGGCTGTGCCCTCCTGGGGCACAGTAGGGACTGTCCATGGTTCCACACAGGGAGTGTTCATTCCGCAGGGTGTGCGGGAGGCCTGGTGCTGGGCTAAGGCATGCTTCCGGGCATTCATAGCCTCCTTGCCTTCAACAGCTAGAAAGTGGAGCCACAAGGATTCCAACCCACAGCCACGATCTCTTGTGCTCCCTTTCCTTTCTCTGTCGTGCCCTCTCCTGGGTGAGGACAGCGAGGACAGGGCCCTCTGAATGCCCTGCTTGCTCGCCCTTCTCTCCAGATCTTCCTGAGGCCAGAAAGCTTAGAGCTGCATGGGATGGGAGGCACCAGGAGAACCTATCCCTTCCTTTGCTCCAGGCCCCACCCTCCCAGAGGCCAGCGGGCAGGGCCTGCAGCAGGATAGAGGCACCCTCTACCCTCACAGGTCCTCAGTGGGGATCCATAGGAATGGCCATCCTGTCTGGCCAGTATCTCTTCTGGTTGGCTCATGCCAGTGAATCCTGGTTGTTCAGCATCTTGGCCATCATCCCTGACTGTGGGGCCTTTACCCTTCCTTCATCACCAAGGCCAGGCTCTCTTTCTGCAGAACATCCCCCAGGATACTGTTTCCAGCCTGCCAGCCACATCCCTCCTATCATCCCTGTCTTTCTAGAAGGAGCATCTCACCTGCATCTAACCAGCATGGTCCTAAGCTTGGACTCTGAAGTCAGACACACCTGGGTTTGAATCCCAGCCCATCACCTTTTCTATCTCTGTGTCTTTGGGCAAGTGACTTGGCCTCTTGGAACCTCCGTTTCTTCATCTATAAAATGTCCAGTGTAAAGGGCTCCCCGCTGTCCTGCACAGAGCAGGGTGGACAGCTCCTACCACATCCACACCTAGCTCTGCCTTCATAGGTTACTTATAGGCTTGCTGTTCCCTTAGATCAGAAACCCAGGACAGTGCCTTGCACCCCGGAGCCTTTCCCTTCTGACCCATCTCTCCTTTCAGCTCTTGGCTGACTTCAGCTCCATGCATCTCAGACGCCCTGTGGACCGAACATTTATTGAGCACTGACTCATGGCTAGTCACGTGCCAGCTCCGCAGAACTGACTACTTTTAATCTTTCCAGAAAGTCCATAAAGTGGGACGTACTATGCCCACTTTACAGATGAGGACACTGAGGCTCAGAGAGGTCAAGTAACCTGCCCAGAATCACACAGCGTATATGAACAGACTGGGCTTCACCACTCACCCAACTCCAGATCCTGTGCTCTACCTGATCCAGGAGCAGCTGTTCAAGCAGAGAGTTAGGTACAAGAGGCACTGGCCTAGGAGTCTGGTGCCCTGGCTCCTGCTCTCTAAGTCACTGCTGTGTGACCTTGGGCAAATCACTTTCTCTCTCTGGCCTCAGCGTCTTCATGTGTCAAATGGCAGAGTAGGAATCTGATGGCCTGACTGCTTCTTCTATCAGGCCATGATGGATCAACGGCATTTGGAGGCAGAGCAGCCACAACAGCAAGAGGCTGAGTAGTCCTGTGTGGGGGACCAGGCTCTATCGCCCCTCCCTCTGCCCACCCAGGCAGAGCTTCTCTCCAGGGTAGGATCCAGCTTCAGCCAGCTCTGGCTCTTTAGCAATTAAGGAGTGTAATAAACATGGCAGCTCATAAACGGGCTACCTGTATTTATTGCTTACCACATTCATTGTAGATGACATCTCATAGCCCCAGCTCACGGAGCACTGGGCTCCAGACGAATGCAATCAAAGGAGACGTGTCTCCTGGGAAGGGCCTCCCAGGACCTCAAAGGTGAGTCAGGTAGCAAAATAGATGATGTGAGCCCCAGGGGCTGGCGGAGAATATGGAGGCCGGGTTCCAGTTTCAGAGCAGAGTGGATGAGTAAAAAGAGGGCTTTGGTGCCCAAGACGGGACGGTGTCCTGCCTCTGCCAGGCATAGCTGCTGGGGCAAGTTACCTAACTGCATACAACTGAATTCCTTCTCTGTAAAGTCACGATACACATAATGCCTTCCTCATGATGCATGGAAAATGCAGAGCACAGGGCTTGGCGCATGGTAGCTAATAACAGTAACCACTGGCATACATCGAGTTCTTACTATGTGCCGGG